CAGCAAGAATTGACCGAAACCATTTCATTTACTCAACATATTCAGACACACAAGCAGCAAATACGCTCTCTTTCCTAAATTTCTCCCAAAATCTTTCCATCGCAATCGATCAACCCATTTGCTCTGGCGCAACCTCCAACTTCTGATAACATACCAGATAAAGTATTGCAACTCCCAGAAGCTATGATTGTACTGAAATTAAGTTGCAGTTGACCTTCCCTATGGTGTCATTATACGTCCACATTTCCACATGACCCATCTTTTTCATGGAATCGAGGAGATGACAGACAAAGGTAATGGGTAATTTCTGATTATGTCCAAAATGCAATGTGTTAATGTGTCCACCTCATTCTGAAAAAAAAAAATTGAACTGTTTATCCCTTTGCAATCATTTAGTAGATTGCTCTAATTATTGACATATTAATTTGTATGTCATGCTCGGTACGCTCTTGCTTCGTTTGTGTAATGTTGCATAAAACCTAATAATATAAATTTTGCCCAAATCTGAAGGATGGAAATGTTTTTTGTTTTTTCTTTTTAGACTATTGATGCATAAGTAAATTTTTTGAAATAGATTTTGATTTTGATTTACCACTTCACGAAGGTTATCTCGTGTTATTGATGCTTAGAAATAGATTTATACCCATCACTTGTTGACTGAGGCCGAAATGGTTTATATAACTTGGAATGAGCTTCTTATCAATCAGAAGTTACTTTACGACATTAGTTTTAACATTGTAACTGATTTTACATTACAAGGAAAGATATTCTGGATGATGTGGATGATAGTATTTTGGAAGAATTTAAGTCTGAGAATGTTGTGGAGAAGGTAAACTTATTGGGTGATGAAATCATAGTAAGAGATGGTTCACCTTTGCTTGTGCCTGAGGTCCATATGAAGTTCAATGATGAAAATGAATTGTTTGATTACTACAAAAAATATGCATACGCCAAAATTTTTCCACTTAGGAAAAGAAATTCGAAAAAGGATGACGACGGTGTTGTGAGATATGTCAATTGACATGTAGTAGCAAAGAGAAAAGAAGTAGTACTACAAGTGGTTCTTTAAAACCTCAACCAACCATTCAGACGTGTTATAAAGCGAGGCTGACTGCATCTATGGATAATCGTGGAATATGGAGAATTAACACAGTAAACCTCGAGCATAATCATAAAACAAGTCCATCGAAGCCGAGGCTATATTGATGCAATTGAGAGTTGAACATACATGTTAAACGATGGCTAGAAGTTAACGATATGGCAAGAATTCTGTTACACAAAAGTTTCAACTCTATAGTAGGCGAAACAGGTGGATACGAAAATATGACGTGCGTGGAAAAGGATTGTCAAATCTATGTTGAACAAATTCGGCGTCTAAGACTTGGAAAAGGAGACACCGCAGTAATACAATCCTACTTTTCGAAAATGCAAGCTAGTTGCTCCAAGTTTTACTTTAGTATGGGTTTGGATGAAGATTCGGGACTAAAGAATGTATTCTAGACAAATAATAGGAATATATGGGCTTATAAGGAGTTTTGTGTTGTTGTTACATTTGATACCATGTACCTCACCAATAAGTATAACATGATGTTTGCCCATTTTGTTGGAATTAATCATCACGGACAATCGATACTACTCGGATGTAGGTTGGTATCGAATGAGGATACAGATACATTTGTCTAGCTATTTATGACTGCAGTGTATGCATGGCCAAGCTCCCCAGTGTATAAATACTGATCAAGACAGGCTATGCAGAATGCAATTGAAATCGTGTTCCCATATACGAAGCATAGATTGTGTTTATAGCACATAATGAAAAGTTACCAAAAAATGTTAGATACCACGTCAATAAGGGTTCAATTTCTATACTATACACGATTTGGTTTACGATTCACAATTTGTTCAGATTTTGAAAAAGGTTGGAGGGTAATGATCAATACATATGATTTGCATGATAATGCCTAATTTTCGGGACTATATGAGAACATATGTCATTGGGTTCCTTGCTATTTCAAAACCACTTTATGGGCGGGGATGTCGACAACCAAACGCAGTGAGAGTATGAAATCATTTTTTGATGTGTATATGCATTCGAAGACCTCATTAAAGCAATTTATCGAACATTACAAATGAACTTTGAGGAATAAAGTGGAGACGGAGATTCAAATAGATTTCAAATCTTTCTCACAAATGATACAATGTGCAATGAGGTATGAAATAGAGAAGCAATTTCAAGCCGTTCACACAATTTCAAAGTTTAGAAAAGTTTAAGAAGAGATCACCGAGAAGCTTTATTGTGACCTAATATCTTCTTCAAAAGGAAGTTTGGGGACAACATACGAAGTATGCGAGGAAGAGATAAACGATCAATGATCTACAAAAAAAAGGCTCTTCGTCTCTTTTCAGAGAGAATATTATAAAGTTATTTGTAGTTGCCACTTATTCAATTTTCCAGGAATAATATACAGGCATATGATCACAGTATTGATCCATAATGGCGTCAAACAACTATCGAAGAGGTATATATTACGGAGGTGGTAGGGAGATGTAAGTAAAGCCCACACGAGGATAGCAGTTAATGACGATGGGTTGACTAGTACCCCAAGATAGTTAAGGTACGATGAACTCTGTCAGTCTTTCGCTACGTTGGCAAACCTGGTTACAGACGAAAAGCAAAGCTAGAAACATACAAAAGTGGATTGAATATGAATGTAAATTGGTAATGACATCGAAGTCCAATGATATGAGTAATGTCATGTCTATGCATATTACACCGATAGCGTCACAATGTGGACCATCAAAGAAACTTTCAACAATGGATTATGTGATCGTAAATGCGCAAAGAAAAAGAGAGTGCCGAAGAAACTTTGTAAGAAGAGCTCATTGGAATCTAGTTCGAATAAAGCAAATGTATATTTCACGTTTATATTACCAATTACATACAGTTTGTTTGCTTATTCAATATAACTAACTTGTTGGGATGTCATACAAAGGAGTTCGAGTACATGCATAATTTTCCGCATTTGTATTTTCTCTGCATATTGTCACGATTATCTCGACATCTTTTCATGAATTAATCAGCACATCGTTTCGAACAAGAAAGAGACATTATTCTATAATTCAGTCACCATAGGATCAGCGGAGGAGTTGCCAACGAAACTTGATTCACCAGATGTTTCACCCTCTTTGACCCACACCCAAAATCGGCATTTTTTTGCTACAACACTAGAACAATTTACCTTTGTTGTTAGTGTTTTTTACCACCACATAACACTTCACATACGTGGCTTTACACCACAAGCAAGAGATCTTATTTTCCATGCCAAACTCCATCGTTTTGTCCTGCCATTGTAAGCTGCGATAAACAAATTCGGTCTACATTCTTTCACATTGGGTGAAGTCAATCGGAACCGAGACACTCAAACATTGGGTACACTAGTACACACTTTCTCAATTCATTATACACAACATTGTTGAACACCTCTATAATTTCATACAGTATTCAAGCTTCACATTTCTGACATTTGAAACTTCGTTACACACTTGGTACAACAAAGCGTTAAACACCTCTATAGCTTCATGCAGTATTCAAGCTTCACATTTCTGACATTTGAAACTTCGTTACACACTCGGTGCAACAAAGCAAAAAAAAAAAGGCTCAAACAAGTGTTAACATCAAATTCAAACACACACACGAATCTGAAAAATGACTCAAATTGTGGTTCTACCTTCAAAATCATACACATTTATGTACACAAATCTCAAATATTGGGTTGTCATTGAAAATTAATAAATACACAAATTTTGTCGGAACTATATGTAAATACACATATAGTCAACAGCTTTGAAACACCCATGTAAATGAAATATCATGCTCACCTAATTTTAGTTGTCGATTTCGTCGGAGAAGACGGTGGTTGTGGCTTCGAAGGAGGAAAAATTGACCGAACGCAGTGATTAATGGATAACCGGACAAATGTAAATTGTTGGATTCTGTTGGAGGCATTGAGTTCTATGTTGGAGTTAGAGAAGACGAATAAAGATGGGACGGAGAGATGATGGAGTAGATCACCTTCAATTCGTCGTCACTCGCCTTCAATCGCCTCTATTAAGGGCTTCTCTAAGATTGGTAAAATAATGGATGTTAAACGGGTATGAAAACTGAGCCAGGTCTTCAGTATAGTGCCTTAAGCGGTTCTTTTTTATTATTATTATTATTTATTTTTCACCTCATTTTGTCAACACATACTGTACGAGTAGCATAATTGTAATTTTTATTTTTTAATGAAATGACGGTGAGTTGGCACTGCTTCCATTGATTTAAAGTACAACGTCATATTACTTTCATCCACTTATGCAGATCTAGTAACGGATTTCATCCGATAAGTTATGGAGTTGGACGAAGTAAAATTGAGTAGCCATTAGAAAAGGTCCTGAAGTACGATGAGTAAGCTTTAGACACGTAACAAAGTTCAACGACCGCTGAAACATTTAACTTTATTTGACATTAGTGGTGCTAGAACATCAATATATATAGTATTATGTGATAGCATTACTCATTTTTAGTTTTCATTTAATGACACTTAATGCCATTTAAATTGATGTTGTAAATAGCATTATTCTTGTTTTTATTTTTCAATAAAAAATTGTTTATTTGTTTGAATAAAAAAATCAAGTATTTTTATGTCTTTTTCAATAAAAAATTATCAATCTTTTTGTCATTTTTCTTCAAGTTATGCAACTTATTATCATAATGATGAAATATTGGTGATATTACAACATATTATCCCCACATTTCTCTCTCCTCCCTTCTCTCTCGTCAAAATTGAACTGTTCCGTCTCGTTGAATAACGTAGATGGTCATATCATGATGGTAGATTAATTCTTTTTTCATATATCCATAAGATAATTACTTGATTAAAATATTAAATTTTTGAAGCTTAACCACTTATTTAGAATCTTGCGTCCTTCGATTTTGGTGCAGGAGTAAACCCCCAGCGATGGCGGTTTCATTATCTCTGATAAAATCTCCGCCTCTCTCTCCGCCACACAGCAACTGCGTCAGTTCGTTTTGCCCCAAATTTCCTCACAGTTTGCCCTCAAAATGCAACTGCAAAACTCGCCGCCATCCCCAATTCGTCATCACTTTCTCTTATAGTAAGCAGCTCAAATTCCCGATTCGTATTCATTTTTTCGTCTCATTCCTTGTCTACTTTGCAAAAAGAAAAGAAACTAAATCTCATCTATGTTGATTGCTGAGTCTTGGGGTTTTTTCTTAATTCTTCACTGTTTTCATATTTAAGTGACCTGGTATTTTACCCTTCACTCGTCCCCTTGTTTGTTCTAGAACACTAATTTTAGAATCTAAGTGCTTGTGCGAGCTGCTGTTCGTTTTAGCTTATTTGGTACTGATTGTTATTTTCGCATATAAGCAACTTGGAATTTTAACACTATACAATGATTTATCAGAATCAAAGAATGGAGTTATTGCTACTGATAAGAAAAGGGAATTGCTTGAAAGTTACGGCCTTAATCCCGACGAATTTTTATCGGAACCCTCTCCCAAGGTCGATTTCTCTCTCATTATCCCCCTTTTTTTATACTGCAAGCGTGGATATTTGTTTGTGATATGAGTGAAGTGTATTGAGTGATTTTTTTTTTTTTCATTTATAGATAAAGAGGAAAAAAGAGCGCACCAAGACGGGAATGGGAAATGAAGTACTTTTGGAGGATCCCAAACCTACTAGGGATACTCACAAATTGCTTCAGGTTTGAATAAACTAAGAAAAGCATTAGTCTTCATATCAAGTAGGGGATTTCTTCTCAAAACTATTAGATTGATAAGTGTGCTTATAAGAACTAAAATAAAAGCTATTGGAATGAGCTTATTAGGCATTTGTTATCTGGATGTAAAATTCTTTTCCCTTAGTTCACTGTGAAGTTAAGCTTATAAATAGAAGGATAAAAAGGATCACAGAAGGATAATATTCGGCCGGCTTACAATGACATAATGCTTGATGTGTCCTCAAGCATTATTCTTCAGCAGTGTAGATGTAAGACAAACTGTGATGTATTGTTGTTTGCTTTGCTACTGCACAAAATGAGCTGGACGTCAACTTCTCATTTGAAGTATATAATTACAGCAGAAGATATTTGTTACCCTTTGTTTTGTCTGGGAAACAAGTTTCACATGAACCTTCATGGCTATTTAGGTTCTTGGGGGGACTGCTCGGAGGAAGAAATTGCTCTCACCAAAGGGCATGGATGTGCGACCAATGATGGAAGTTGTAAAGGGAGCAGCTTTCAGCATATTGCAGGTGAATCCTGTTTTAGAAATTTGAACACAATTTTCCTCTTTTAATTGGATAAGGTGTTTTGAGTTCTTTATTTGCACGGGAGCAATTAGAAAGCAAAGAATGGTGTAATACTGACACTTGGTTATTAAGAACTTGCTGTTTTATCTTTGTGCAGGCCGCTGGTGGCTGTCCTACATCTCTGAGGCCTGGACGCTGGTTGGACTTGTATAGTGGTACAGGATCTGTTGGTATTGAAGCTATCAGTCGAGGATGCTCTGAGGTGCCCCTACTAATTCTTTAAGTTTATTTTTCTAAACTTACAGCTTGATTTGATTCCTTTACTCTCTGCTAAATAGTTATGATCTTGAATTGATTGCTTTTCTTTTATTTTTGCTGAATATGATTCAAGGATCTTGAAGATGCTACTTGTCTATTATATATTACCATTTGACTTGGGATATAATCTTTTGGCTTGGGTCTTTGCTTGACCTGGTTTTAGTGTTTGATCTAAACTCATTCCTGTCTTCATTTGCATATTCCCAGGCGCATTTTGTCGAAATGGATCCTTGGGTTATCTCAGATGTTCTACGGCCAAATTTAGAATCAACTGGTTTTCTTGACGCATCGGTTATACATGCTGTTCGTGTTGAAAATTTCTTGAAACGTGCAGAGCAGTTATTAGGTACATATTTTCCTTCCCCAGTCTTCTCCATATAGTTGAAAGAAGTGAACTGCAGGATTCTAAAGAACCAATACATAATGCATTTAATTTACATTTTAAAAATCAGTACATTATTGTACATAATTGCTGTGAACTGAATTGCAAAATTTTTAATGAGAATTAAGTCAAATTAATTACATTTCTTCTTGATGATCCACCATCTTATATTGTTGCACTACTCTTGTTTGATGTAGGTAAAAATGGAGAATTTGATTACATAAGTGTTACACCTCCATATATGCTTGTAGATTATGCAGTACTGATGAACCAAGTTTCGAATTCATCAGTAATTGGAGAGAATACCTTTATAGTAAGTCGGCTCCATTTCTTTTATTGGACACAACCCTCTGCTCCTTTTCTTTTAATATATATACTCCCAATACGTTTCAGGTGGTTGAGTATCCATTGAGAACTGACATGTTGGATTCATGTGGCTGCCTTGTAAAGGTGCACATCTCTTTATCGAATAAGTTCATATTTAATTTCGTCCTATGTAATGAATTTAGTTAGTTAATTTTGATTGATTGCTTGATTATTTTGACAACGTAGATAGCTGATCGGCGATTTGGTCGAACCCATCTAGCAATATATGGACCAAAGTGGGCTCAGAAGAAGAGAAAGTCAGAGACACGAGGACAGTTGTAGAAAATGTTTTAACATAATTCCGTATTTTGTGGGTTGAAATTCTGTTCTTGTTCAAATGTAGTGATGTATATCACAGTCCAGCCATGAATGGAGCATGCTAAATGCTGTCACGTGTCTCCCCTTTTTTAACCCTGTCACTGACCCAGTCTTCTATGTAGCATGATTGTAGATACATTGTCAACTGAAGTCACAAATCAAGACTAACATATTCCAAGGTAACTTATTTTTAATTTTGATAAAAGAACATGGCCCCCAATCAGCAATTCACTCAGAAAGTCAAGCTTGGCATGCCCATCAGGCCAACAAAGTCATTGTCAAACCAGTTTGGGATCGATAAGTTTCCAATTTTCTTCTTCAACAAAAAATCATATTCGCCCTAATAATAATCGAGTCAAAAAAGAATTATGTCACAATGCAGTAATTCTACGCATCATTTTCAGTTCAAGCATAATATCTAAAATTTCTTCGACCACTGACAAGTTTATTGAAAAATGAAAAAGATAATAGCTAAGAAGTTTACTGGAGGAACAAATATGGGAAATGAGGTGAAAATATTGAAATGTACAACAGTTCATTTCACGATCTTCAATGAAAAATTTCAGGGCCACAATTAGACCGGCAAATAAACATTAAGAAGAACCATCAAGAGTAGCTTTTTCTTACTACAAATTTCTAACAAATAGATTACGCCTACTCACATTATTATATTATACAAAATACGGTTACAATATGGCACAGGTAGGATCGTGAGAGAGTAAAGCTTACCACTCAAAAAGTAAAATAAAAAACTGTCTGCTTCAAAGAACTTATCACGGATTGTGGAAATTTCAGCCAGATTTTACAAATATCCCAAAGTCAAATGGGACTTTTCGTATCTTCTTTTCGAAATAGTAGAGGAAATTCGTCGTATTGTTCTGAGAAACCGTGTTCCTCGGCCATGCTTTTCAATGATTCATAGACTTGATACATTGACCACCTATCCCTGGACCGAGAAATGACACAATTACATGCTATTCTCAAGAATCGCACGATGTCCTCGTCATTGCCCTTTCCGCACAGGCTTTTATCGATAGCATCTTTGATTCGAGCAGAACCCGAGAGCTGGTGTACCCAATCCACTAAATTACATTTAAATCGTTCCCCGGACATACTGACTTCAAGAGCTTTTTGTCCCGTTGCTAACTCGAGAAGTACAACCCCAAAACTGTAAACATCCCCTTTAAGAGAAGCTACCATTGTGCTCGAGTACTCAGGAGCTACATATCCAAATTCACCTGAATCCCCATTGATGAAACTGCTCTCATCAGATTCTGAAGAAGTCAAGAGTCTTGCCAAACCAAAGTCCATTATCCTAGGATCAAAATCCTCATCGAGGAGAATAATGTTGGAGCTAATGTTTTGATGCAATATAGGAGGATCGCAACCATGATGAAGCCACGCAAGTCCTCGTGCAGCGCCCAAACCGATTCTAAATCTTGTTGTCCAATCCAAAGCAACCGCATTACGATTCAAAATCGAAAACAAAGTCCCATTAGACAGATGCTTATAAACCAAGAGCTTCTCCTCCTCCACCAAGCAAAACCCCAATAGAGGCACCAAATTTGGATGCCTAAGTTGCCCTAACCTATTCATCTCCAGCCCAAACTGTTTCTCCCCCATCTTACAAGTATTAAGCCACTTAATCGCAAGTGCCGACCCGTCCGGCAAAACCGCCTTGTACGTCGTCCCCGTACTAGTCGAGACGATAACATTTTCCGCGCTAAAACCATTCGTGGCCGCCAATAAATCTGCCAACTTAACCTTCACTAGTGGTTTTTGAAACAACATAACTTGAGTAAGCTTGTGAGCACTCAATCTTTCAACCCAACTGCTAGCTTCATCTCTCCCTTCAATCCCATATCCCCTCTTTCTTTTCTTACTAAAACACCACCACCATAAACCAAACCCTAACAACAGAGAACCTGCCGCACCAAAAACCCCGGCCGCTATAATAATTGCCAAATTCTTCTTACTCAAGCCCCCAGGCCCCCCACATTTTCCCAAAGATCCTCCACAAAGTCCACTGTTCCCACCAAAATCAAGCTCCAAATCATAATTAAACTCGGGGACTCTCCCAGATAAATCATTATTAGCAACAGTAAACCTTCTCAACCTTCCTAAACTCGAAAACTGAATCGGAATATTCCCAGACAATCTATTATCATCCAAAATCAAGTTATTCAAATACGTGCAATTGGCGAGATCAGCAGGGATTTCACCAGAAAATTCATTATGGGACAAATCTAAAGTAACCAAATAAGGCAACCAAGTACAAATTTGAGGTGGGATCGAACCGGAGAGGGCATTACTAGAGAGATCGAGACTCTGGAGGTTGTGGCAGAACTGTAAAGAAGCCGGGATTTTCCCGGCGAGACTGGAGTCCCGGAGTTGCAGGCCGAGAAGCCGATTTTCTCGGTCGTTCCAGCACGTAACCCCTTCAAAACTACAGATGAATCCAACGGAAGAATTCGAGAACTTCCACGAATTAAGCTTCCCTGTTGGGTCAGTCAATGAGCTTTTAACTTCCTGCAAGCACTTAATGTCGTCTTCTGAGAAAACCCAGGTGGAAAAAAGCAGGAAAATTAGCAGAAGAAAAGTGAATATGGATCTGCATAGAGGAGGAAGCATAATTATCTTTAAGGGAGAAGAAACCGGTGGGTTTTGCTTTTGTGGAATTTTGTTGGGGTCCTTTGTTGAATGGTTACAGGAAAATTTAAGTGATTTTCCAAATGTAAAAACAAGAACGGCATTTTGATATGACTGGTCCATGTAGAATGGTTTTTGTAGATATTAACGTTAGTGCGCGTTTGACCATCATTATCGCAGAAATAAAGAGTTTAAAATAACAAAATTTAAAAGTGTGTACGTTAAAAATAGGGGTGGGCGCGGGTCGGTTCGGTTCGGTTCGGTTCGATTTTTTTCGGTTCCAGAAATTTTCGGGTATTTAGTAAATGGAACCGTCGGTTCCAAATATAATTTTGGAACCGTTCGGTTTCGGTTCGGTTCGGTTCTGTTCGGTTTCGTACTATAATTAAATTTTTTAACATTTAAAATAATACTACATAAATACACCTGAAAGTGGATACTAATATTAATAACAAAAAGTAGATACAAATACCAAGTTCAATCTTAACTTTTACAAATCAACGTAATCTAATTTAATAACATATAAATAATAAGTTGTCAAATACAAATACCAAAAAGTAAATATTACTAATAAAACTTCGATATTCATATCAATAATTCATTTGTTTCAAACCTTCAAGTCTACATAAAAGTGAAATATAAATTAGAAGTCACAAAGATAAAATATTTTAAAGTATTGATAATACTTACCAACTATTTAATGTAATCATCAGTTGGTTAGCTTTCCATACTAATTACTAAGAAACTATATAAGAAAAAATTGAAAAAAACACAACTAACAAACATAAATAAACTCTAAATTGTTCAACTAATAAGATTTAATAAGAAAAAATTTATTAATTTGTTTAGAAAAAATAAAAGAAATTGATTTATCCAATATAAAAAAAAAAA